ACCACCTCTCTAGGTAACCCATTCAAGTGCTTCACCACCCTCCTAGTGAAATAGTGTGTCCTAATATCCAACCTAGACCTCCCCCACTGCAAGTTGAGACCATTGCTTCTTGTTCTGTCATCTGCCACCACTGAGAACAGCCTAGCTCCATCCTCTTTGGAATCCCCCTTCAGGTAGTTGAAGACTGCTATCAAATCCCCCCTCACTCTTCTCTTCTGCAGACTAAATAACCCCAGTTCCCTCAGCCTCTTCTCGTAAGTAATGTGCCCCAACCCCCTAATCATTTTCGTTGCCCTCTGCTGGACTCTCTCCAATTTGTCCACATCCCTTTTGTAGTGGAGGGACCAAAACTGGACGCAATACTCCAGGTGTGGCCTCACCCGTGCCAAATAGAGGGGAATAATCACTTCCCTCGATCTGCTGGCAATGCTCCTACTAATACAGCCCAATATGCCGTTGTCCTTCTTGGCAACAAGGGCACATTGCTGACTCATATCCAGCTTCTTGTCCACTGTAATCCCCAAGTCCCTTTCTGCAGAACTGCCACTTAGCCAGTCGGTCCTCAGCCTGTAGCAGTGCATGGGATTCTTCTGTCCTAAGTGCAGGACTCTGCACTTGTCCTTGTTGAACCTCATCAGATTTCTTTTGGCCCAATCCTCCAATTTGTCTGGGTCACTCTGTACCCTATCCCTACCCTCCGGCATATCTACCTCTCCCCCCAGCTTAGTGTCATCTGCGAACTTGCTGAAGATGCAATTAATCCATCATCCAGATCATTAATAAAGATGTTGAACAAAACTGGCCTGAGGACTGACCCCTGTGGCACTCCGCTTTATACCGGCTGCCAACTAGACATCGAGCCATTGATCAGTATCCGTTGAGCCCAACAATCTAGCCAGCTTTCTATCCACCTTATAGTCCATTCATCCAATCCATACCTTTTTAATTTGCTGGAAAGAATACTGTGGGAGACCATATCAAAAGCTTTGCTAAAGTCAAGATATATCACATCCACCGCTTTCCCTATATCCCTTCTTTAATACTAGTAACCTGCTTTTTTAAAAACTAACACAATAAATGGCCTGTAAATTTAATCAATAATGCTGTTACTACAAATATCTGTCAAAATCTTTTAGCACTTTTTACTGTGCTTTCTTCATCTTCTAATATTCAAGCCACTTGCTTCAATATTAAGGTGATAACATAGTTTCCAAACCATTTAAGCCTTACAATTTTCTTTAGAGACTGAGTCTATTATTTGACAAAACATTAGAATTACGGTTTACTTCTTGTTTTGCAAGATCTTACCTGCTTGTGTGGTAATTGTTTCAGCTTGTTCCTTTAATATGATTGATCTTTGGTTTCTTTTGGATATTTGAATGATTACAATAATATTCTTTTGCCGAACAGGCCCAGATGAAACGAAAACTTACATACTACAAGCAATGATTGATTATGTTTAGTTTTTAGTAACACAGATATATTATATTTCATTATTATAATCCTTCAGTCCTGCAAGGAGTAGCTGCATATTAAAAAGTTATAATGGGACGATGTTGAGGACAGACTAATTTCAGAAGAGAGTTAGAGGTAAAGCTCTGCAAAAAAAAAAAAATCAGTGTCAGTTTTCTGCTTTTGTTTGGTATTTCATTGTATGGCATGTTGGGCAAGGTCTTTGGCCGTCTCGAGTCTTCTTTGCAGAGCTCCCATGGTGAAAATCAGGATTAAAACCATCTAAACTGACTAGGAGTGGATTTCCACTGTGTAGAGGAAACCTCATGGGTATAAGGCTGGCCCAAAGGCTTCTGTGTAACTCTCTCCTGCCACCTGGCACTGGGGGTGTGTCTGAGAGTTGTGGGTGTGGTTAAGGTATCCCTATACCCCCAACAATCCCAAGGTGTTGGGACATGTTTTTTAGGTGATAGACTATTCAATTTTGTGTCAGGGACCAGCCTGGTGGCAGCAGGATAGTCACAGGAATGTGTCTGTGTGAGAAAGTAGCTTATCGCCTCTTTAGCACCTCCCCTTCTGAACTGTGCTGAGTGCAGCTTAGATCTGGGCTGCCATATTTTGGCTGTCATCTGTCCCTTGTTTTCTGTGATTTGTTTCTCTTTTTCTATTACTTGTTTCTCTTTGCTTTCTGATTTGGATCTTTTTCTTACAGTATAAGGGCCAGATTGTGTCTTATATACCCACACCAGAGAACAATGAATACCTTATACCCCCCTGGTGAGCGACCAAGACCTTGGGTGTGGGTATGCAGGAGTAAGCAGATACTGGGTGCCTGTTTGATCTCTCCACAGAGCAGGTGGGTGGGGGAGAGGACAGAGCCTTGGCCTGTATCTCACTACTCCTTAGCCAGTGCAGTTTAGCTGGAAGGTAGGGGTTGTAATTACTGTTGGTATAAGCCAGCATTCTTCCTCTCTCCCCTCGCCAGAGTCAGGGGCAAGCAGGAAGGAAATGATCACTCAAAGGTATATCTCTGAGGTGCAGGGCCTCCCACGGCTGCTTCTGGAGTCATACTGCTTATATACCAGCCCTTGCTCAGAGCTGTAATCAAAGCCTCAATCTAGCTCTAAAGCAATGAAAAAAAATGTAAAATAGTATTGTATCAGGTGATTAATATAGTTTTATATTGTACTTACCTTTGTAGTCTCTTTCCTTTTCCTTTTTGCTTTTCTTCACCCAATAAATTGTTTAATCAAAATAATAAATATTGAACTGGAAATGGAGAGGTCTGTCCAAACCAATCAACCTGCATATTGTGAGGCAAAAGCCAGAGGAAGAGGATAAAAGCATTTGCCTCTCTTTCCACTCTTTCTGAATATAAAATTCAAGCCAAATGTGATGTCTGGTCATAGACTGTTAAACAAAATTATTTGGCTCTGTTGAGTAAATTCTCAAACTGTTTCACTGCCTTATTGTATTACATACAAACCCTGTAAACAAATAACAGAAGAATTCATGGATACTGTATTGTCTAGCACCACTTAAAATGTGCATGTATATTCAGGGCCGGCGCTTCCACTAGGCGACCCTAGGCGGTCGCCTAGGGCGGCAGGATTTGAGAGGCGGCATTTTGCCGTCCTCGGGAGAAATTCGGCGGCGGGGGGTCCTTCCGCTCCGGGTCTTCGGCGGAATTTCGGCGGCTGGTCCTTCACTCGCTCCGGGACCTGCCACCGAAGTGCCACGAAGACACGGCGCGGAAGGACCCCCGCCGCCGAATGCTCAGAGGAGGAGCGCTGCCGCCTAGGGCGGCAAAAACCCTGGCACCGCTTCTGTGTATATTTGTTGTTTATTTACCTACTCTGACTTTTTTGTATACCTGTTTTAGTCTTTTAATTTACAATGCAACCTGATTAGCTTTGGATGCTGTTGGATATTTAACTGTCTTAGAAGACTATATTTTTAGACAAAATAGAAGCACAATATATTGGTGAAGCCTCTATAATGTTGTCTTTTTCCAATCGTTATTTTCATGACATTGTTAAGACTAGGCACTGCAGTTAACTGAGTCAGTGTTCTCATTTAGCTTTTTTAGCCTGTGATTAAATGGGAGTTGCTGCTTGTTGTAATATGAGTTGGCTGACAAAAGCTAAATCTGTCACAGGTGCTACAATTTGTACATCAGGAAATTTGCTTTCCAAACACTAATTATTCCCATAGTATCGTACTTCACTCAAAGCACAGATAACAGAGTCAGCAAAATTTCCTCAGTTTTATCATTGTGCTGTAAATTAGGGTTTGTCTCCTACCATTGTATAAAGTGTAGATGATGGAAATTCTAATGCAGGGAACCCTTTGATTTTATAAGGTTTTTCTTGCTTTATTCTCCCAATCCAAGTGCAAAAGATTTAGATTGTTCCAATAATAATTTCTGAATTTCAAATCTGTGATTGTCTATGTATTCTGTAAGGAGATAGTAAGGCATGAATCTGATAGGGTAGCCTAGAGCTTAGCAGATAAAAATGAAAACATTTTGTTCCAGGAAGGTCCAGGCCTAGCCCAGAGATATATTTTAAAATTAATATGGGAAATTACCTTTATTTGGTAAGAGCCTGTAGGGTATACCTCTGACTCAAGCACACATCATTTTTATATTTGGCAACCTCTCCTATGCAGAGGCTTGGGACTGAAGAGCTGTTATGGGCTAGTCCTCATTCCTTTGGGAGGATGGCTCTTCCTACTTTTTGGCCTTTTCGTTACTGAAGGGGAAACGTGGATAATGAGTCACTGCAACTGTGGCTGAAAAAACAGAAAACTTCAGTTTACTGCCCTATCAGGTATTCTCAGATCACGTGCTCACAAACACATATTCTTCCACTATAAGCATCCCTTTTATGTTATGTGCACGTTTTCTGTTGCTTCCCATGGTGTAAAGGCTTTTTAGGATAGCATGCTAGAGCCTGCGTTGACAATATTATCTATTTCTGCATTTAATCGTAAGGGAAAACACCTGTCCACGAGACCCCACTAGATATGAGGAAATGGCTCCAATGGGCTATTTCTTGGTTGAATATTTTATAACAGATCTAGCTGTCATCAGAGTGTGTGGGTCCTTGACATTAGCCACAGAATGACCTGCTAAAATAAACAGTAGAGCTTTATTTTAGAAATTTGCCTCTTTCATTGCCATGAATTGCCTGGAAACAGATGCTGAGACTATACAAATGTTTTAAAAGTAAATAGGAAATACTAATCTTGATGAATTACTTAGAAAAGGTAAAACTCTGAACGCTGTATGGGAACTTACTAGGAAATTTGTTTGTTGGTTTGTTTTTCCGTTGGAATTTATTTAATCTTCTATTTTTAATATATTGTAAGCTGTCTCAAGAAAATGTTTATTGACTCCCTGAGGATGAGCATATTGTATATTGCTCGATTTCCAACAAACGAAAACATTTATGTAATTTAACTTATACTAGCAGTGATTCACAGCTGTAATTATTTGGCCTGTATACAGTAACTTCTGATTTGTATTTTTGTTTTATTTTTTGTAGGACTATTTGACAATTCACAAGTATGGCAATGCAGCCAGAAATGATCTCTGGAATACCCTGTCAGAGGTAAAGTGCAATATAGCCTAATACACTGAGAGAAAAGCAGGAAGCCATAGAGGTGTTTGTATGCCGAGGTTGGAAGAGAATAGTGTATACTAAAATACCTAAGCCCAAGAGCACATTTAAAAACTAATGCTAAGAAGTACCGTTTGGGTTCACAGAAAGCGACAACCTAAAAAAACATGTTTTCAGTTGTTTGTGTTATATCACTGACACCAAATAAAGGGAAGGCCTGCTCTCATTGACTTCAGTGGGAGCAGGATAAGGTCTGTAAGTAGGAAAGAGCAGGAAAATGCTGTGCTTTGGCATTTATATTGAATAGGCTTTTGATATGTAAATATTCATGATTTGTCTGAAGGACAGACCTTGTAAAGGCTTAAAGCTGGGCATTGTATTTTCTGGTGTCAGCTGTTATTATTTGATGTCCTTAGACCAGCTGCAGGTGGGTTACAAGGATACTGAAAGCTACCCTTGCTTCTTCTGTACAGTTTCTTACTTTTTCCTTTCCTTTCCTTATGTTAAAGCCTTTGGGGCAAATTCTCAGTGATTTGCACTCAAAAGTGCATTCTAGTCAAAGAACAGCAGAACTCACAGCAAATGTACAGGCACAGGATTGTGACTGCATTCTTGGCCATAAGCAACTACTGTCACATTGGATATGTCAAACCTGTTAATGGTGGGAATTAAAATTCCATGTTCCCCTACCTATCAGCATATCTGTTGTCATCCTTTACATTCTCGAGATGTCTCACATGCAGACTGAGTTCCAAGGGATTCTTCCTGGGATTTGCTTGGATTCACTAGAGGTCACTCAGTCTCTGTTCCAGCATTGGCAGGAAGTTCGAGGCATTCCTTGGTTGCAGAGAAAGCTGTCTCTGTCCATCCTTCACTTGCTTGCAGTCTCTCTTCCCATGAGGTGCAAGTCTCCCATTTTTGTCAGGTTTACTGTATTCCAGCTGAAATCCCACCCAATTTAATTCCACCTATTTAAAACTGTATTTTTTCTATAGTTTCTGTATTAAACTAGAATAAGGCAAGATTTATACAGTTTGCAGGTTTGGGAAAGGTCTGCATGTGCACAGCTTAGCTTTGGACATAAGAATCCAGATTTTCCAGTGAGTGGTAATTTTGGATGCCTAGTGTGAGACACCTTAAAGGGGCGTGATTTTCAGAGGAGAGATGTTCAGCACTTTCTAAAATCAGACCCTTTTAAAGTGTCTCAAGATGGGCACCCAAAATCAATAATCCCAAGAGAAGATCTTCATCAGTGTATCAAGCTCCTTTTTTAGCCTTTTTTGATCATGGAAATCATTTGCATATGGCCATCCACAGTCTTTGTGAATGCGGGAAATGTGGGGAAGCAGGTCTGAAGTTCCACTCCTTTTAGGTTTGGGTGGGATTTTCAGAAGTGCCTGAATGACTTAGGGGTACAAATCCCAATGAAAGTCATTGGAACTTGTGCTTCTAAGTCACCTAGGTGCTTTTGAATATTCCACCCTGTCACTGTGTTTGCATTTTCTAGCTTGCCACATGAATATTTATCGCTTTCAGTTGTTAAAGCTGTTTTATTTTGATATGCAAGATCAAATGTCTAACTCTTACCTAGAAAGAAGGCTTCTCCTCGATCGATTTTTTTTTTTTACCATTTATATCCTGTATTTATGCGTCGAAAGTGCCTGTGCGTATAGATGCTTAATTCCTATTTAAACAGCTAGACAATTAATGGTCCTCTAGTTTAAAAAGTAAATGGTATTATGTGTTAGATACTAGTATTGCATCAATATACTAAACCAAAACCGTTTTTTTTTTTGGAAGGCTCTAAAAAAGGTTGGAAAATTTGTAAATATCCAAGAGGTAATGGATCAATGGACACTACAGATGGGTTACCCCGTTATCACCATCATGAGAAATGAAACTGCAGACAATATCGTAGTAATATCCCAAGAGCACTTTATTTATGACATTGATGCTAAAACCAGGGATCCTGACCTTGGAAACAACAGGTACATGTTTTTCTCAATAAATATTCCTACTAAAAGTTGTAGTTGTTTAGCTGCTTCAGGCCAGTATTTTAAAGCAGAAGTCCCTGCCAAAGTCACTTAGCTTTGCCTAGAATCAATGGCATAATATGGCCCTAACATTTTAATTTTATTAAAGATTATTCTTGTAAAAAGGATTAGAATTATATTAGCATAATAAACAACAAAAGAAAGCTTTTTATTTGCACATTTGCATCTTTAGTGCTCTCTCTGGCTTTTTTCAATCTTGGGTACACATATATTCCTTGGCCTCTTCTTTTGGTTTTGTGGCACTCAGTGAAATGCAACAGCATGTGGCTAGAGCCTTCTGATATTGTATACTTGAGAGTGGCTTTCAAATATCAGTAGGAGTATTCTCTTATTTTGACTGAAAATTTTAATCAGCAGTCTTACAACAGCTTACATCAGCTTGTACTGAAGCTACCGATAGTCTGGTCATGTGTTAAGGAAAGACTAGACAACTAAAGATGAACATCTCATATGGTAGCCCTGGAAAAAGGAGAAGCCTTTGGAAGTGCTTAAAACACAGATACTGGCTATTTTTTAACAAAATACAGAGCTTACTGTCAGCATACTAGGTGAGGGGAAGGCATAGTTGACTCTAAGGGCTTGTGTAGATGAACAGTTAGTGCACGGCAAGCTGGGGAGTAAATCTATAGTGCACTAGCCTGCCACACCCTAATTGTCTGTGTGGACCCTGCTGCTATTCACTAAAAGTTCCCTAGTGTGCTTTGACCTATTCCTTTCTTAAATGGGAGTAGGTCAGTGTGCACCAGGGAACATTCAGTGTGCAGTAGCAGGTTCCACATGGAAGTGCGTGGCACACTAACATACTGTATATTTACACTCCAGCTTGCCATGCACTAGTGGGTTGTCTAGAGAAGCCCAAAGTAATTTTTGTGCCTCCCCTGATCTTGGACGCAAACTAGACCTCAGGGCAAGTTAGAGCAGCCACATAGCTGCTGTAACTTATGATAGCTAGAACAGTCCCTTAGGGATTGGTCTTTCAGCTGGGATTGGTAGAGCACTTAGCTCTCTGGCCCCATCCTCAGTGGTTTGCATCATACTTCCCAGAATGTCTCCTCCCTGATCCAAGCTAGTTCCAAGACACTCCTTGCACTGTTAGTGCCAAAGGGGGCTGAAGTTAAGCTGACTATGCTGGCTTTATACCAGCCCAGGATTTCCAGACATTTCCTAATTAAGGCATCTTTAAGGTTGCTATGCTGGGGCCATGACCTGTCTGATCAGGTTGAAAGCAAATTGAAAACTATCTGCTAGGGTTGATGTCTACAGGACTGCCATTTAGTCTAAAAGCTGCTGTCTTCACCTCCTCTGGTTGAATGCACAAAGGTCACTCTCTGAATCTTGACTTGTCACAGGGAGGACAATAGAAGTCATCAAAAGGTAAAACTAGGTGCAGATGTTCACTTGACATGTTTGGGTTTTATGGAACAATATTCCTGTTAGGGAGTTCATTAAAAAAAAAAAAACACTATACTGTAAATTTATTCTCCATTGTTTCATGTGCCATGGATGTTGTAGAACTCATACCTAAATATGGTACATAATCAATTGTTTCACTGGCTATGGGAGAGCACTCTCCCATCAACTTAGCATGTCTTCACCAGACCCACTAAATCGACACCACTGCATTGATTACTGCGGTATCAATTTAGCCAGTAGTGTAGACATGGCCTTTACCTATATATCATATTTATTTGTGTAGTGGTTTTTGTGTCATGGAAAGCTATATATATAATTATGTATGTATTTATACATGTATACGTGTGTGTGTGTATATATACATCCGCAGATAATGTGAGTGAATTTTATTACTCATGAAAACAATGTCTAATAGTGTTTAGATAACGTAAAACAAGTATAGTACTGAAAGCATTGTGCAAACTTCCCCATACATGTTTGTCAATGCATCTCAGTCTTAATTTGCAGTAACTCTGCTACTCCAGTCTATGAGCAAAGGCTACCAGCCACGCAGTGATTTTGTGTGGATGTGGATAGCTGAGGGTTAAAATTAGACCATTAATACACTTACTTTACTTTCATTTGTGACCTAAATTCAGACTTGAACTCAAATTGCTGAAGGTGAAAGGCTAGTGCACTAGCCCTCTTTACACCTCCTTGCCTCTCCCCTGAGAGAATAGGCTCTGTGGTGAGTAAGTACTTGATGTTTGGATCCTCTTTTTTTATTTCTTTTTTGCCCCGTTCTATTTTTTCCCTTCCTTCTGCTCCACCTTCTCATCCCCTTAACCACAAATGGGGAAGAAGCCTGTTGCAAAGTGAAAAATGTTATTGATGAAAATACCTAGGTCAATCAGTTTGATGGCAGAGCCACGTCCTGCCACTTTTCAGTTAAAATTATGTGCAAATCCTATTCACATGAAGTCTAAGTCACAAAGAAAATGGGCCCATAAAAATTAAGTGAAAGGGACACATACATATTCCATTAGTCTTTCAAACTCATCTTCTTCCGAACAATATTAAAGTCACATAGGTTGGTTATACATTAGTGTCCAGAGTTTTATATCACTGATCATTTAATTAATTGTAATACTACACACTGACCGTCATGGCCTGATGGAAACAACATTTGTGTGTCTTTTACATGTCCTTCTGTACCGGGGTGGCCAAACTTACTGACCGTCTGAGCCGCATACGACAATCTTCAAAAGTTTGAGAGCCAGGGCGCTGAAGCCCTGACCCCCAGCAAGTGTGCCCTGCTGGTCTGAAACCCCGAGCCCCAGCAGGCGCGCCCCGTGGGGCTGAAGCTGAAGCCCCCAGACACCACCCCCCCGCTGGGCAGAAGCCAGAAGTGACATGTGGGGTCACTTGCCCCCAGATTTTTGCCAGGATTTGTTGACCCCACTTGGTCACATGGTGCCACCAAGCCACCTCTCTTGGAGAGGTGGATTAACTACATTGATGGAAACCATTTCCATAGACGTAGGAAGCGTCTGCACTACAACAGCATAGCTGCAGTGCTGTAGCTGTGCCACTACAGCGGCTGTAGTTTAGACATGGCCTTAGAGTATTAGTCTTTGGGAATCCAGGTCCGGGGCTTTGATTCAGCATAGTATAGAGATAAGCATAGGTGGTGGGTGGCTAGGGCTAGCGGGGACTCAGCCCCCCAACTCCATTTCTGGTGGGTGGCGCCAGGGCAAAGAAGGGAACAGGGCAATGCAGGGGGAGGGCCCAGCCTCTGGGCTGGATTCCCAGCAGATGGAGCTAGATTCCTCAGTCCTGGCAGAGAGCACTGGGACAGGAGGTGGGGGAGAGGACCCTCAGGATAGGGGAGGTTGTCCTGAAGTGATTGTGGGAGGAAGGAAGGAGATCCTGAAGTAATTTAAGGGGAGGGTCCTGGTGGAAGGAGGGATGCTGAGGTGATTGGGGTGGGAAAGGAGAGTCCCAGGAAAAGGGGGGATCCTGAGGCCCCACATCTGGTGGTACCGGAGGTAGAGTGGGTGAGACATTGCAAGGGAGGGCCCATCTGTGCATGGATGCACACGTCAGGTGATGCTGTGGCAGGTTTGAATTTGTGAGCATTAAGAGTCAACAGGCCACAACAGGGAGCCAGTCCCAGCCACATGGGACAGGAGCCCCGCTGCAGGGTGAGTGTGGGGTGGGCTCAGCACACTCTCCCTCACGCAAGAATTTTCAGCAGCTGCTTATGAAGATAAAGGCTAGCCACACTTCCCTAAAGCTCTGGGAGATTAAGATCTCTGGTTGGGGCCCAGCTCTTGGTCCATTGACTCTCCTTTGCTTTAAAAAGACTCATTTTAGAATAGGTCTGGCCAGATGTATTTTGATAAATAAAAGAGAGAGCTGAAATATTTAAGAACCACAGTTTTGTAAAACTGCTCTGTTCTGCTCTCTATGCCAAAGCACTTGTGTCATAATTAACTATTTAAGATGCAGTATAAAACACCACACTTAATTTTTTTCTCTAAAAATATATGCAGGACAATACAAAGCAACAAGCAGCATTTCCAGGGGACTAAATGCCAGAGTGAATACTCTTGATACCCCTGGAAGTGGTTTTCTCTGAGTGCTGCCTAATCCAATACAGATGAGCATTTTTAAATTTTTGTTGTAGATAAGAAGTAGAGTGTATATATTTGTTTTTCCTAGTCTAACACAAGACTCCACATACATACTATAATTAGAAGGGGGGGAAAGTTGTGTTTTAAGGGCCAGATATTCAACATGTGACTTCTTTGTGTGCATACAATTTGACTTATGCAATTTTAAACACTATCACTGTGCATAAACACTACAGAATTCACACAATCCTGTTTCTATGCCCAAATGAACATTGATTTTACTGGACACCTAGCCCCGGAAGATAATTTATGTGGGAAATATTGAGAGAAAATAAGAAATGACAGACTCCTGGTCCGGGGGAATGCCACAGTATACAAGGCCCCAGTCAAAGTCCATTGAAGTCAATGGGAGTCTATTGATTTCAATGGGGTTTGGTCAGACCCATAATGATATGACAGATAATGTTCTAATTTGAAGCTATCCCAGGAAAAATCCATAACTCCTACTTTATAGTGCAAAGGGCAGATTCTGCCCTTGAATAAGTACACAAAACTTCCGTTGACTCAGAGTCATATCTGCATATCTGAGGACAGAACATGTCCTGGCATTACAGGACTGCACAAAATGAGGAGATACTCCATATGACAGGGTTCAGTGGGTTTTCCTCATGACAGAGAGAACCATATTTTCAAGGCACTGAAAAGACATCTAGAATAATCCATCAGTACAGTAGTGATTCACAAAAATATGAAAAATAATCTGCTGTCTAGAAAATGAACTAATCAATTCCGATGAAATCTATAAACCATTTTGGTTCTAGATTGAAGGGGAGGCACAAACATGAAGCTCTCAGATATGGAGAGATTTTTTTCTTTTGAAAATACACAGAATTCGTCTCTTTAAAA